TTCGTAACACGTCATTCATTCTAACAAAAACGGGAACCTAAAAACCGAACCAAACAAGTGCTTCCCTCGAACGACCCCCCGGATTGGAAGTTTTTAACGAAACGACTCCCGATATTCGTTAAAATTTTCACGGTTCATTGTTATCGAATGTCCCGATTTTCCGGTCCAGTTAATGGCGTTCTTTTTCCTGTTCGGCCGCGCCGTGACGAATGGAAAATACGCGCGGAAGATAAATCGTTCCCTCTGTTAATTGATCGATCATTGCTAACTCCCCCGCGCTGGCCCGCGTACCTGCGCACACCGCGCCGCCGCAGCGGCGCATTTATCTTCGCCGATTGCCGGACGCGTTCAACTTTTTCCCATCAGGAGTCGCGCGGGAAAATGTTCGAACAGGTTCGAGTAGGGTGAACTCGAAACGTCGGAACCGGGAAGCCTGTCGATACCCAAGGATGTTTCGAGTCTCGAGGACTCGACAGTGATTTAGAAGTTTTGAAACTTAGATGGGAAAGGTACGAAGTTATGGTGTTCTTAGTAAATAAAATCACCGCTTCAGGTTTCAAATGTTTTAAACTGTCAACGTTTCAAGTTTAGGAAACTCTAAATTTCAATTTTAGGAAAATTCAAGTTTCAAGAGTTCCATGTTTGAGAAGTTTCGAATTTCTAAAGTTTCAACGATCGTAAGTTTCAAGTTTGTAGAGTTGCAATTTTTTAACGTTTCAACTTTTAGAAGTTCCAAGTTTCTAAAGTCTCAACTTTCTACAGTTTCAATATTCATAAATTCCAAGTTTCTAAAGTCTCAACTTTCTAAAGTTTCAACATTCATAAGTTCTAAGTTCCTAAACTTTCAATTTTCTAAAGTTTCAATATTCATAAGTTCTAAGTTTCTAAAATTCCAACTATCCAAAGTTTCGGTTTATTAAAGTTTCAACATTCATAAGTTCTAAATTTCTAAAATCTCCACTTTCCAAAGTTTCGGTTTCTAAAAGTTTCAGCTTTCTAAACCTTCAGTTTTTTAAAGTTCCAACATTAAAAGGTCTCAACGTTCAAAAGCTACATCCCCCGAAAACATCAAGCTCCCAAATCTGCGAACCCTCAAACACTTTCATTTCGAATTTCAAAAATTAAGTTTCATCCCCCGAAAGCTTCAACCTTCCGAATCTTCGAATCCCCAAAAACTTTCATTTCAAATATCAAAAATTAAGTTTCACCCCCGAAAGCTTCAAGCTCCCAAATTTCCGATCCTCAAACACGTTCATTTCGAATTTCAAAAATTACAACCGTTAATTCCAACCAATCTCTACGCTCAAGTATCGCTTGCCACTGGCGCGAACGTTCCCCCTAGTTTCCCAGTCCCTCCCGTTCCGCGCGAAACCGGATCGTTCTCACGGAAAAATTCCTGGGGTTCCAGCGAGCTGGTGAAATTTTTAATTTCGCCTCCTCCTCGCGATTACCTGCTGTCCGCGTCGCGCCGCTATCTCAGCGCGAACGCGACGCCATTCCGGAACAAGGAGATCGGACATTGTTTCCATTCCAATGGGAACTTTCTCTCCCCCGTGGCATCTCTAGCACCCCATTTTTTTCGCCAGCACGCGTCGCCGCTGCAAATGTTGCCATCCGACGTACCAGGGGACAATTACAACGCGCGCGCGAATTTTTTAATTCACGGCCGGATTGTCAAAGCGCGCGCCCGACAAAGAGAGCCGGAGTGCGGCGCGGCCGCGCGCGATCGCTAATTATACGAATTTGCGCGCCGAGATCAAAGCCGTCGCGACGCGCGCGGAAAGTATTTGAACGGGCGTGCGCGCGTTTGTCATCGAAACCGGTGGTAGATCGCGCGACAACGCAAACATTTGTGAAATGAAATTATTCCTGGATTTTCGGGATAGCTGTTGGCGAACGAAATACAGAGATATCTTAATGGCACTCGGAATTGCTTCCTCGAGTATCGCTTTCTGTTCCCAAAGTGTTTCGTGTGATTCGACTTTAACTAGAAGGTTCTTGAGTTTGTCTCGCGATGTACATAGATATTTACTGTAGAAACTGAAGCAGAATATCATCACTTTCATCACCATAATCACGACTTTGTCAACGTACGCGCACAGATTCAAGTACCAATTAATAAACACTGGAACCATCAGAAAGTAAAAGGAAATTTAACAATTCTACGAGTCCTCCAAGCGAAAGAGGAATAAGTTACAATCGTTCACGAACGAACGAATAAAACAGCCGCGATCTATCTAAAAAGGCCGATTGAAATCGTCGCGTGCGCGTTCGTCACAATTACTTTTTCCCCGCGGAAAAAGGGGACACTGTTCCAGTAATAATCATTCCCCGCTTAGTCCATAGTGTTCGATCCTCCCAATAAAAATGCGCGAACGATGCGATCGGCGACACCTTTTTCTTCTGTCTCGCCTTTTTATTGCTCGACGTGCAAATGCGCGGTTCGCTGCGTGCGCGTTGTTTTTCATCCCCCTCGCCCGCACGCCGCCGCGGGTCCCGCGATGCGTTGCCACGCCCACGCGTGTTTTTCGCGCTGCTCCGAAAAACCCGACAACTTTTTAGCAGCTGCTGTCCGCGTTCTTTTTCCCTTTTCCCTCGCTCCGTCGCCCGTTTTTTCCGCCGCGCTTTTTTTTTCCCCCAGGCGAGCTTAATGGCGACCGCTCCGATTTCAGCCTCGGGCAGGTGTAACGTGTCGCCGTTTCGCAAACAGGGGAGAACCTTGCTCGAGCGTTTCGTTCGATTCATCCGTTCACGTCGTTCCGCGCGCCGATGGTATTCTATTCGATATTCTTTTCACTGTGATGGTGCGAATCTGTGTGTGGCGGAGAGAGAGGAGGGAGGTGTTATAAAAGTGAGCTAATAAATGGCTAGCTGAGTGAATGAGTGAATGAGTAAGTGAGTAAGTGAGAAAATAAGTGAATGATTAAATGAGTAAATAAGTGAACGAGTAAGTCAGTAAATAAGTGAATGATTAAATGATTAAATAAGTAAATGAGTAAGTGAGTAAGTGAGTAAATAAGTGAATGATTAAATGAGTAAATGAACAAATGAGTAAATGAGAAATAAGTGAATGATTAAATGAGTTAATGAGTAAATGAGTAAATAAATAGATGAGTAGATGATTAAATGAGTAAATGAGTAATGTGAGTAAATGAGTAGATGAGTAAATAAGTGAATGAGTAAATAAGTGAATAAGTAAATGAATAAATGAGTAGATGAGTAAATGATTAAACGAATAAATGAGTAGATAAGTAGATGAGCAGATGAGTAGAAGAATAGACGAGTAAACGAATAAATGAATGACAGAACGAGTAAACGAATAAACGAACGAATAAAGGAGTAAATAAATAAACGAATATATGAATGACGGAACGACTAAATGAGTAAACGAATAACCAAACAACCACATGACTAACCGAATGAGTCCATAACCGAGTGAACGAGTAAATAAGAGAATGCTCCACAGATATAGAGCAGAATAGAGAGGAACAACACAGCAAAACGAAACACACGAATCCAACAAGTTCATATTCGAGAGTTTTCGCGCCCGCTGGTTTACGACGCACAATCACTTCCAATACGATTGAAATGGAAACATCGGTAACGGTTCGAAGCAAAATTTAAAGCCGCACGCACTTCCCCTCTCTCTCTCCTATTTTCACCGGTAGGATCCGGTTCCCATCGGCGACGATTTCCCGTGAATTTAGAGTGCGAGCGGCGAGATACACGAGTTAATTTCCCGTCGGCACGTTGACGCAACAAATTGCTTACCGGATCCGCCGCGTCTGAGGTTCCCTCCCAGCATTTAACCCCGCGGAGCGCCCGGCCTCCCGTTTCATCGCATATTAATAACCTTCACAGGTGGTAGCCACCCTCTCGGTGAATTTGTTACACTTCTCGAAAGTTCTTCGGGCTGTAAATTCCAACGCGAGCGGCGGCTAACGGTTCTCTCCGCCTCGCAGGCTTTCCCGCCTTTGAGCGAACTATCGTCGCCTAACTCACCGCCGCGACCTCTCTCGCTGCGCGCACATTTCGTCGCATTAACCTGTGCAACGTCGAACAGGGAGAGACGATTAAGAATTGAAATTCGGCTGCGCGTCGCGAGGTATTTGATGGGCCTCGATCGTTTCCGAATTCGAATTCGACTTTACTTTCCCGAGAGAAAATATCGATTTCCCAGTTTGAAGGGGAAAATTGTTTATCGTAATTCAGTTGAAATATGGTGACAGTAGTAATATACTTTAGGAAAATCACTAAATGTGAAAATTGTAGCTTGTAGCTAAGTTCGGTAAGAATTGGATTTATGAGATGAAGGTCATCTGAAGGTCAAAGCGTCTTAATCATAGAGTAGTTACCTAATGAGATCACAAATATAGTGTTATTACAAAAATATATCAAAAAATAACATTTATTCGAATAAATTTACTTTGATTTATTTTTTGAAGAATATAGTAACAAAATTATAATTGATACTGATAAACAGAAGTGCCTCTAAGTCGCCAAATGGTTTGACACATGGTTTTACCTCATTAGGAAATATTGGATATTTCCGGTGAAAAACTTCTGGACTGCAAAGGGTTAAAATATAAACATTGATGTGGAAAATAAACATTGAAAGGTCCAGTTGAATTCGTTTTTTAGATTTCTCTCCGCTGTTAACGGGAATGGAGCACATTTCGATATTCGAGCTGCACCGCAGAAGTAAAACATCCGTTTTCTCTTATTTTCAGAAGGGAGTTTCGAACAACGGTGCGTTGCGCGCGGAGAACATATTCATTATACATTTCCTTTTCGCGATACTTTCCCCGGCTGTTTATATTATCCGAGCGTTGCATTGTTTGTTTGAGGCCAGCTGAACAGGAAAATTAGAGAACTCCGCTCAAAGTCTCGAATCTTTCCTTTCATTTTGCCAAGAACACAATTTAACGCAGCGGAGCGTTGCGCGCGGGAAACGCGCTGATTGTTTGTTCCGTTTATATTCTAGTTCTTTCTATTTTCAGAGCCTGTTTATATTATCTCCACGTCACATTGCTTGTTTTCGTTCCGGACAGAAGAATCGGTGTGCGTTCAAAGGGGAAACATGGAGCTTAAGAGACTTCCTGAAGAGTTGAGACAGTATCCGTTGCGATTGATGTTATCGATAGAAATGATCGTGCTGAAGTTTCTCCAATTATAATGACAATTCGTCGATCTGTGTTGAATATTAACCCTTTGCACTCGAGAGGTGACTCAGTCACCATTTGATTTGATGTAGCAAAATTATAAAATTTGATTAATATTATTAATATTTTTAATTTCATATTGAACTATGTGTAATGCAGTGCGTGAAATATTGGGATAAAAAAGCTGTTTCTCAATTTACCTGTGATTTCTCTTTGAATTCATTTCAAAAATCGTTTTTTTCTAGTTAGAAAATGTTAAGTATTTTTCCGAGTGCAAAGGGTTAAAAGACGTTCGAATTCATTGTTGTGCATTAACTCACGAATGATTAAAGACATAAATAGATTCCTATTAGCAACGCACTCACACTCGATCGCAATCGCACAGATATACCTCCAGCAGACAAAGGCTCTTCAAGATACTCAAAACTTTCAGCAGAGGGAACTAAATTGAAATTATTAACTTCCAATGAACTACTTTCAAAATACTCGGAACTTTCAGCAAAGGAAACTGAAGTAAAATTATTATTAACCTCGGATTATTCGAAACTGCTGCAATATTCGAGCCTACAGAGTTCAAAGGGTTAAATTCCGAAGTACCAAGCGCACGTTAACACTAGGTTTACGAGCATTTATTGTACACTTCATTCTATTTATTTAGATCGTAGAAACTTGAGATCGGCGTAAACATTTACAAAATAATATTTCTAAAATCCAATATGCCTCAATTTGACGCGTTCCATAAACCTAGTATTAACTCCTTCACCGTTCACTTCCCGTCGAGACATCGAATCGCGTTCCCGTCGAAACAGCACGGGAATAAATTCATCGGCGAACAGCCCTAAAAAAGTATCCCCCATGGAACGGTCGCGCAATCTCCTCGAGGAAGACGCGAGTTAAGAACCCTCGCGCGGCGCGCGAGCGGGCCGCGTCGTACGTTTTACTTCCGTCGTATTACAGTTTTATGGGGCTCTGGTCAACGCTTCGGGCGAACGTAGAAGCGAGAGGAACGGGTGGGGGAATGCATGCTTTATGGCTGTTGCACGGCGGACCTCGTAAATCGCGAGTATAGAGAAAACAGAAAAGTCGCACGAGGAATTACACCGTTACGCCCCCTTTTTTCCAGCACTAATTCACCGTTCCGCGTTAGTTAAAGCCTGCCTCTCACTTGTTTGCGCCAGCCCGCGTGTCCTCGTTAGAATTTATCGCCGGCAAGCGGCGCTGTGGCCCGTATAAGCATATTTTCATAAGCTCCCGCGGCTGGATAAGCCGCGCCGCGGAGGAACCGCGCGGATGAGGGGGCATACTTACAGGTTGATCCCGTCGTAGCCGGCTCCTATGCCGACGTGGTCGATCCCGGCGATCTTGCGGATGTGATCGATGTGCGCTGCAAAAGATTGGTATTTTTTATGGTTGACTGGTTAGAAAGTTGTTTGAGATGGCTTGGGTATGAGGAGAATGAGTTGTGTGGCTTTTTGTGGTGTTCGTTGGTGGAAATGAGTTTGTACGAAGGATTCATGGGAATTATTAGTTTTCCTAGGTGATTAGTAAGTTCTTTGTAAGCTCGGTTAGTGAACGAGTGGATTTTTCTGGTGATTGTTAGTGTGAGGAAATGTACGAAGGTTTCATGGGGATTACTTTTTATAGCTACATCATTAGGAAGTTGAGTATTTCTTGGGTTTACAATTAGTTAGTAATGGGCTTACGTTATAGCATTAAATATCTGCGATTTATTGATGATTCCGGTTAGTGATGAAGTTGTAATGCAATTGCAATGCATTTTTCTAAGAATCTAATAAAATTGGTCTAACGATTGTACTATTTTGAAGCTACAATTTTGATTATTAGTACCAAAGTTTGATATTGTTTATGGGAGCGCTGTAATTAACGAGAAAAGGACTCGGATGGTTTCTAAAATTATTATGGAGCTGCGTCGAGAAACGTGGCAAGATTAGACTGATCACTGTACATTATTAAAAGCTACGGCAGCGTACAGTTTTATCCTGTCGCTCCTGCCGGAGTAACTTCCCGTGTTCTTAACGAGGATTTTACCATGGAAAGCTAATTTCCGAACGAGGAGATGAAGTAGATGAAGCCTTTTACGATGCAATCAAATCATTTCAAATGGGGAAATCTCATAACCCGCGAAAGCGCTTGGGATTCATGAATTCAACACGAGGACAATAAAACATTCATGCTCCGGCGAGATAAAGGATAGAACGCCGGCGAACGCGATAGAAAACAAACCTCTGATAAACTCGCCGAAGAACAAACCATGGGAACCGATTAAACTTTAATCGTTCGCTCGGAGTAAATCAGAGGATGCCGGAGCAACAATTATGAATAGCGTACAAGTCGAGGGGGTTAAGATTAAGAGCAAGGGTCAAAGTGTACTTAATTCTGTATTCTTTGCGGTACGAGAGGGGAATTATGAATGGAAATTATAAGAGATAAGAGCGACTGCCGCTATTCATGAATTTTAAACGCTATCTGCAACAGCGCCTCGGTAATTTTAATAATTATGAAACACGAAACTCGAAACTTATCATTCCCGTTATTTTCATAGCTTTACCGCCGATAAACCTATTACATCGGTGTAACCAAACGAAAACGAGAACTTAAACGTGCCTTGAATCAGTTTTCCATTCACAAGTCCTGTTAGAATTCAATTATGACCTTACTCATCGAATAACCCTTTGCACTCGAGGAACTCAGTCACCACGTGATTCGATACAACAAAACTATGAAGTAGAATATTTAATATTTCAAATTAAAGCTTTCATTGCTACGTGAAATATTTAAATGAAACACCTCTGTGCTTAACTTATCTATGAATTATCGTTAAGTTTCAAATAATATCACCTATATCTCGTCAGAAAATATTGAATATTTCCATTGAGAAACTTTCGAGTGCAAAGGGTTAAACACTGTCTATCACACTTTCTAATGTCAATAACCACAGAAACTTGGAACTTATTTATCTCATCCCATTCTCGTTAAAAATCCCAGCAATGATTCACAAGCGTCTTAATAATTCAATCAAAAACCTAGCCAAATTTTAAACAATCTACAACGTCCCGGTAACTCTAATAATTCTTCCGTAACGAATCGTCCAATTGTAACCTGAAAAAACGCGCGTCGCAATTCATCCGAGCGGGAACGTCACGTTCAAATACACCGTAAGAGACGAAAACGAACGAATCGTCGAACTATATTTCATTTCCAGTCGTTCCCGGTGGATATTTACATTTTAACTCGATCGCGAGTGCAATCGTTGGCATCGCCGATTCATCGGACCGAACAGTCGGCGCGTCTTCGGCGTGCAATCGACGTTCCGCGCCGAGCAAAGGGGTTGCGCGTCTTCCGCGCGTTAAGTGCAAACGTCAGTAACACGCGAAATGTAAACGCGTTGCTGTTGACGCGCGGCGCATCGAACGCATCGCGAAAATTGCATTACTCGGGGCGCGCACGAAAACTCCGCTCGAGCCGAACGGTCAGGGCCGTGTGTACGTAACGCGTCGTTATTAATTAGCCGGTAATTGTTGCACCGTGCGACGAGCAATCAATCGCGACGAGTAATGTCGCCAATGGATTGAGATGATTCAACGCATACACGCGGCAATTGTCGAAATTATTATTGCGACTCTGTTTAACGCGGGTCGCGCTGCCGGCCAGCGTGATGCTCTCGTTGTTCGCGTCTCGAGATGTAATTCGCGGAAGTGGACCGTTGGAAATGACTCTCGTTCCGTTCGGCGGACGCGTGATTAATGGCAGCGAGTGTTTTTCATTGGCGAACGTTGTCGTCATTATGTTTTTGGTACCGTTGCTTGGTAGGATGAAACGTGTGGCTGGTGAAGTTTTTTAGTTGAGTGAGGTGATGTGTCATGATATATGATATGGTATTGTAGTGATGCAATGGTATGGTGATATGGTAGTATAATGATATGATGATATGGTATTGTAGTGATATAATGGTATGGTGATATGGTAATATAATGCTATAGTATTGTAGTGATATGATGATATGGTGATATAGTATTGTAGTGATATAATAATATGGTGATATGGTGATATGGTAATATAATGATATAATGATATGGTGATATGGTGATATGGTGATATGGTAATATAATGATATAGTATTGTAGTAATATAATGATATGGTGATATGGTGATATGGTAATGTAATGATATAGTATTGTAGTGATATAATGATATGGTACTATGGTAATATAATAATATGATGATGTAGTACTGTAGTGATATAATGGTACGGTAATATGGTAATATAATAATATAATGATATACTAATACTGTAATATAGTAATATAGCAATATAGTAATATAATAATACAGTAATACAATATCATAACAATAGTACTGCTTGTAATTTATGATAACAACGTCAAACAGAAAGAAAAACAAATCGAAATAAAATCAGAAGAGGCAGAGTAATGGCAGCGCTAGTTATACTAGCGAAAGGCACGATGTAACATTGTTCGCAGAAAGACAATGGGAAAAGAATTATTTTATTTATTTCAGTACATTTCGTTCCCGCGGAGATGTAATTTAAATTTCACCCGGGCACGCGAATTATTGAATGGGTCTTGATTAACGCGTCTGTTCATTACACGCCGTTTCTACTTACTACGAGCACGCGTGTGCCGGACCAATTTACAATGTTGATTCTCCTGCAAACGGGGCTTTTCACGAAACAAATGTATTCTACACTTTCGACTTATTTTTCTTCCCATGGAATTCCCAACGCACGATTCGGCACAATGATTAATTGTCATTCTACCTATGCAACGCGCCGCGCGCATAGTCGCACCATTTTATGCGAAACGTGGCCGCGATGAAAAATTACAAACACAACTTTCCCAGTCAAAGATTTTTCAACTCAACATGAACGCGTTAATGTCACCAAAAAGAAATATCATAAAAATATAAATTATATTTTATGTAAAATATAATTATATAAAATGTAAAAAGAAATATTCCAACGAGAAAAAAGGAACAAAATATTCGCGTGTCCGCTAACACCATCGTCCCAGCAAAATCCATAACAGCCCAAGGAAATCAAATATTCCATCACCATATACATAATAACCATAAATCCGTAAAACACAAAACGAGAAATTCCCGTCCACAAAATTCCCATAAGAAACGAAAGGAAAAGGGGTCCCGTAAAACGCGATTATAAGAGGAGAATCAGCATCGCTCGCGGAAGGCTCGAGATCGGAGATCGCTCGAGCGGGGATGTTCGAGCGGAATCGTCGCTCGTAAAATGCGTTTCGCTGTCGCCGAGTTGCGTAACGATAAACCAATCCATATCACTTACGAGCCCCGTTTCCATCATTGCCCGTTCTATTCGCGTCTGAAAAGGAGGTCGCGCGGTCCATTCTTCTCGCCCTGTACGTCTCGTCTAAATTCGAGCCGGCTCGTTATACAGTCCAATAAAACACGGAACGCTCGGCGAGCGAATAAACGAGAAGACCGGAGCACACTCTCCGCGCGCGTGTGGGCGGGCCAGAACTTCGGAACGGACGTTACGATTTAATCAGGCCTCGGCCGTGCCCGTTCGTTGGCTTATTACTTATTTCATCGGCCCTATCGACCCGCTTTCGAGTCACGGACCATTTTTATCGCTCGATATCGCCGCGAGCGACGGTCCT